AGCCAGTTTCTTTGGATACACTGTGGAATGGACCTTTACAAGAGATCCTTCCTGCCTACAGCCGTCAGTATCCTTTTTTTTTCTTCCATTTACCCTTTATTTATCCAGGTAGTCTCATTGAGCCAAGAGAACTCATTTTCGAGAGAAACCTGTTTAGGGAGCAGGTGATGGGGGTTAAGGGCCTTGCTCAGAGGCCCACAGTGGGGCCAATGAGGGTGGAGGCAGGTGTGGGTGTTTCACCTTTTCTATCCACATTTTTTATGTTGACGGTACCGGGAGTTGAACCTGCGACTTTCTGATCACAGGCCCATCTTCTCTAACCTCTGCGCCACATCTCTTAATGAAACGAGGATAAGTTACAATATTTAATTTCCCTTTGGGATAATAAAAGTATTTTTGAATTGAAATTTCAGACCAATCTCAAAACTTCCCTTTCTTTTTACAATCCTGGAGAAAATGGTTTATATTCAACTCCAGTTTTTGATTGAGAATGGAGTCTTTGAAATCTTTCAATTTGGTTTTAAACAACAAAACACAGCTCCTAAACAGCTTTAGTGTGGATTTGTAATGACATTCTGTTAGCAACTGATTCAGGTCAGTTTGTGATCCTTGTACTCCTGGACTTTACCGCTGCTTTTGATACTGTAGTATCCTCATATCGCAGTTAGAACACTGGGTTGGGATTACAGGTGCAGTATTAGAATGGTTCCGTTCGTACCTAAGTGATGAGTTTCTGTGTTAAGGTTGGAAATAGCGTATCTGCATCAGTGTCTCTTTCCTGTAGGGTCCCACAGGGCTCAACTCTTGGGACTCCTTTTATTTTCACTCTATCAGCTACCTTTGGAGTCTATCCTGAGGAAACATGGTTTCATTTCATTGTTATGCTGGTGATTGTCAGATTTATTTACCCTTAAAACCCAACAGCTCCAGCTCAATTCACCCTCTGTTAAAATGCCTTGATATCAACGTATGGATGGCTTCAAACTTTTTAAGTTTTAATAATCAGAAAATTGAAGTTGTTGTGTTTAGCCCTAGCTCTACCGCTGTCACGGATCCCGTTAATCTTGACTCTCTTCAGCCCTAACTTAATGCAATTCAATTCAAATTCAAATATACTTTATTAATCCCAGAGGGAAATTATTTGTTGTAACTTGTTGTCCTCATTTCATTAAGAGATGTTATAGATACTGATGGCTGTAGGCAGGAAGGATCTCTTGAAAAGGTCCATCCCACAGTGGATCCTGAGAAACTGGCTGCAGATGCCGTCCGATCCATCCACCCAGACTCGGCTGGCCTCTTGGTTCCCCCGGGCTGTAGGACCGCCCAAATGCTGGACAGAACTCCTCCCAGAGCGATGGCCACTCCTCCCAGCAGTCTTCCGAGCTCCTCGTCACTGCGGACAGCCAACTGTAGGTGCCGAGGGATGATCCTGCCCTTCTGCTGTAATGAGCCATGTTTCCTCGTAGTTCCAGGATCTCAGTGGTCAGGCACTCGAGCACAACTGGCAGGTAGATGAGAATGCGTCCACAGAACATCCTTTTTCAACTCATTTGAGATTTGGGGCTGTAGTTGAGATATTATTTGAGCTTTTGAGATGTTAATCAGCTGCTGTTGGTTGTAGAAAACTGCCTTGTTGCCATGGTTACGCATCATAACAAATGTCCAAAACTAAAAAAGTTTCAGTAAAAATCCTTCCAGCTGCACAGCATCTGACACCAGAGGAAACCACCATCCAAAAAAAAAAAAACGCAACCCACATCCAGAAAAAGAGGAATCACAGTTTCCAAAAGCAAAATCTCAGAATGAAAGTAACAGAGCTGCTCCAACATGCAGCCACCTTGAGCGGCGCAATTCTAGAACCAATTAAGCAATCTGTTACAAATTTAAGGATAGTTTTAGACTCTGACTTTGTTTAATAAACAAATTAACTCTGTTCTACCAAAAAAGTTTCTTCAAATTAAGGCAGATAGCTATGCTTAAGTCTATGCTGACCAGATCTGACCTTGAAAAAATAGTCCATGCATCCCTTACAACCCAGCTAGACTACTGTAACACACTACATGTTGGGATCTATCAGATTTCCCTTTCAAGTCTCCAGGTTGTCCAAAATGCTGCAGCTCAGCCATTAAAAGGAACTCGCAGGTTTGCGCACATATCAATGGTTCTGTACGCTCTACTGACTCCCTGTGCGTGTCAGAATTGATTTTAAGATTCTCCTGTTGACATTTAAGTGCATTAACGGCCTTGCGCCTGCACACCTCTCTGACCTACTTCAACCATATGTAACTTCTCGGCACTGACATTATCAGACCAGCTGCTTTTGGTTGTACCAAAAACAAGGTTGAAGCTCAGAAGAGATTGGGCTTTTTCAGTTGTGGGCCCTACTTTGGAACAATCCGCCCCCCCCAACATTAGACAGGCAATTTCACTCCCTGCTTTTAAATCTCTCCTTAAAAACACATCTGTACTCACTAACGTTTAACACAGTGTGATCTGATTTAGTATTTCATTGTTTCTCATTATTTGTTTTTTTATGCTTTTAATTACATCTTGTTATTTTGATTTACTGCCTTGATCTTTTTGTTAAGCACTTTGTTAACAGCTGCTGTTTTAAAATGTGCTTTACAAATAAATTTGACTTATCTTTAAGATTCTTGGTGTTTCTTGACCTACTGCGGAGTCATAAACTAACTTTGGGAACCAATGCCAAAACTATAAATCAGTCCTTTCTGTTAGCAAAATATGACCTAAATCACAAGTTGAACATTAAATAAACTCTCAAACAGAACTTAAAGCAAACTATCTTAGAGAGCTTACACCTCTGTTTATATTTTTATGAAATAAAACGTTAATTTTCTGTAATCACAGCTGTGTATTCTTTCTCACAAAATCCTAATGAACATAGGTCCTTCTCAAAAAATTAGCATATTGTGATAAAGGTCATTATTTTCCATAATGTAATGATAAAAATGAAACTTTCATATATTTCAGATTCATTGCACACCAACTGAAATATTTCAGGTCTTTAATTGTTTTAATACTGATGATTATGGCATACAGCTCATGAAAACCCAAAATGCCTGTCCCAAAAAATTAGCATATTTCATCCCACCAATGAAAGACAAGTGTTTTTAATACAAAAAACAACAACCTTCAAATAATCATGTTCAGTTATGCACTCAATACTTGGTCGGGAATCCTTTTGCATGAATGACTGCTTCAATGCGGCGTGGCATGGAGGCAGTCAGCCTGTGGCACTGCTGATGTGTTATGGAGGCCCAGGATGCTTCGATAGCGGCCTTAAGCTCATCCAGAGTGTTGGGTCTTGCGTCTCTCAACTTTCTCTTCACAATATCCCACAGGTTCTCTATGGGGTTCAGGTCAGGAGAGTTGGCAGGCCAGTTGAGCACAGTAATACCATGGTCAGTAAACCATTTACCAGTGGTTTTGGCACTGTGAGCAGGTGCCAGGTCGTGCTGAAAAATGAAATCTTCATCTCCATAAAGTTTTTCAGCAGATGGAAGCATGAAGTGCTCCAAAATCTCCTGATAGCTAGCTGCATTGACCCTGCCCTTGATAAAACACAGTGGACCAACACCAGCAGATGACATGGCACCCCAGACCATCACTGACTGTGGGTGCTTCACACTGGACTTCTGGCATTTTGGCATTTCCTTCTCCCCAGTCTTCCTCCAGACTCTGGCACCTTGATTTCCTAATGACATGCAAAATTTGCTTTCATCCGAAAAAAGTACATTGGACCACTGAGCAACAGTCCAGTGCTGCTTCTCTGTAGCCCAGGTCAGGCGCTTCTGCTGCTGTTTCTGGTTCAAAAGTGGCTTGACCTGGGGAATGCGGCACCTGTAGCCCATTTCCTGCACACGCCTGTGTACGGTGGCTCTGGATGTTTCTACTCCAGACTCAGTCCACTGCTTCCGCAGGTCCCCCAAGGTCTGGAATCGGCCCTTCTCCACAATCCTCCTCAGGGTCCGGTCACCTCTTCTCATTGTGCAGCGTTTTCTGCCACACTTTTCCCTTCCCACAGACTTCCCACTGAGGTGCCTTGATACAGCACTCTGGGAACAGCCTATTCGTTCAGCAATTTCTTTCTGTGTCTTACCCTCTTGCTTGAGGGTGTCAATGATGGCCTTCTGGACAGCAGTCAGGTCGGCAGTCTTACCCATGATTGTGGTTTTGAGTAGTGAACAAGGCTAGGAGTTTTTAAAAGCCTCAGGAATCTTTTGCAGGTGTTTAGAGTTACGTAGTTGATTCAGATGGTTAGGTTAATAGCTTGTTTAGAGAACCTTTTCATGATATGCTAATTTTTTGGGACAGGCATTTTGGGTTTTCATGAGCTGTATGCCATAATCATCAGTATTAAAACAATTAAAGACCTGAAATATTTCAGTTGGTGTGCAATGAATCTGAAATATATGAAAGTTTCATTTTTATCATTACATTATGGAAAATAATGACCGTTATCACAATATGCTAATTTTTGAGAAGGACCTGTACTTCATCTTAAAAATTACTTGTGTTTAATGTATTAGTTTGTTAGATATTTAAAACCTAAAAGGCAGTTTCTCTCCCCAACTGATCTCTTCCTGTCTAAAATAAATTCAGATGGCATCAAATTTAAAAACATGGCTAGGCAACTTATTTGAGGTTTGGTTTACAGACTACTAATTAGTTTACTTTAATAAAATAAGAAAAAACCGTGTGTGGCAAATCCAGTCTGAGAAATAAACAGCGACGTCACGCGCTAAAAGGAGTGGAATGAACAATAAAATAACGTTAAATGTGTTCCTGATGTATGTATTACATTGAAAATATATGTTTTATTCACTCAAAAGAACCAACTGTGGCATTAAACTCATTTTAGAGATTACATGATACAGGTTAGCATAGTTAGCGTTTCAGTGTGTTGTGAAAAGCTCAAGCACGACAAAAAAACAAGTAGCACAAAATACGTTACAGTTGTTTTCTTTTTGTTATCATACCTGTTCTGCAGGATCGTACAGCCAGGGCTCAGTAACGTGTTCAGCTTCAATTTAGCTGAAGGACGTCCAATCCAGGAGATGGACCTCAACAATGTCGCCGCCATCTTGACTGTTGGACCTGAAGTTTCTTCTTCGGTTGTTTTTCAGGGTCATTAAAGGAAACTCTGCCGCCACCTGCTGCTCCACACCGGTAACACAACTGAAATGTTTTCGTCACTTCGTGAGCAAATATTCAAATGAGTAAATGATTTGCATTATAATTTTTAAATGTTTCCATATATATTTATTTTGTAAGGGGGAGAGGTGGTGGGATACATTTTATTTCCAAATGGCCATGCTGACTTAGTTCAAGAAAAATCAACTTGAAAATATATTTTTTCAGAATGGAAAACTCTAAGGATTTTTTGTTTTTAATTTAGGACAGTCATATTTAATAGAATAATGTATGTAATCCTAAAAAAAAAAAAAAACTCTTGCCAAACCAAACATGCTATTTGTGAACTAGCATAATTTTGATGTTAATTAGAATTAATACACCAAACAATTTCAGTCATTTTTGTTCCTCCATCCATCCATCCATCCATTATCTTTACCCGTTTATTCCATTTTGGGTCACGGGGGTCGCTGGTGCCCATGTCCAGCAATCACTGTGCGAGGGGCGGGGTACACCCTGGACGGGTCGCAAGTCCATCACAGGGACACATAGAGACAAACGAGACAAACAACCATTCACTCTCTCACTCACACCTAGGGACAATTTAGAGTTACCAATCAGCCTAACATGCATGTTTTTGGTCTGTGGGAGGAAACCGGAGTACCTGGAGAAAACCCACGCATGCACGGAGAGAACATGCAAACTCCACCCAGAAGGCCCCTGGACCGGGGTTTGAACCAGGGACCTGTTCGCTGAGAGGCAGCAGCTCTACCAGTTGCGCCACCGTGCTGCCATTTTTGTTCCTAATATACATAATTATTCCTGAATACAGAAGTATTTTTATTTTGGTCTGGCTCTGTGATGACACAACTGCAAACAGACCTCCAAAATGCTTCTTTAAGTCATTCAGTTGCTTAATAATCCTTCATTAAATGCTGTATTATACCAATTTATTACATAAAGGTGAATAATGTGTTTCCTGTTAGCAAAATCGCTCAAGAACCACAGGACAGCTTGAAGTTGAATTCTCAGAAAGTAATCAATGAATGAGCGTCTATCCAATTTAAGATGGCTGCCACAGCTAATCAACCTTAGTCAACACAAAAAAAGTACAACACAAGTAATTTTTACAGATATTGAGTTAAAACGTGGTGTGACTGAGAGTCATCTTCAATAATGTTCACAAGGAATGCAAGTTGTTCATTTTGAAGATGCTTTTGTTTGTAATGACATAGAGCAAGATCTAACCCGCAAATAGCTTAAAATAAAGGATGAACACGCAGCGTTGTATAAAAACAGTGCTTTTATTTATGCAATACTGTGGAAAAATAATTACATACCATTTTTAAAAAATATTGAAGGTAATGAAATAAAAAAATGAGTTTGATAATGCTCGTACACCTTCTGAACAGTTGTCTCTGCTACGAACAGTACAATAAGATAAACATTGGGTTTTCCTAAATTCAAAGACACAATAATACAGGATTACAGTCCTACCAGAGGTATAAAAGTACTGGAACAGGATTGTGAGAAATGATATGGACACGTATTGAAACACACTGTAAAGGTTCAACAGCCACGCTGCAGTTTGGCGCCGTGTGTTTAAGGTTTCTCATCCACACGCACTCATTCACACGTCTATACAAACACAACGTACAAATCGATGCGACGCCCACACACGCCTCGATCTACCGCCCTCCCACACACACTACTACATGTCAATACTGTAGACGAGCCTTCATTAAACCTCTTCATACACATTCTCCTCGGGCTGGTTTTGGCAGACAGACAATGAGGAATGATTCATAATGGAAATGTGTGACAAGTTCCTCTATAAGGCCACTCTACGCTCATCATCCGTGTGGTTTTGTTCTCTCTCTCCGTCTGAACTCGTAGTCAGGAGCTCGGAGAAGAACAAGGGTTAAGCTACTCATTGCAAAGTCATGAATACAGGTCAGAGAGAGGGAACAGTCATAAAGTATGAATTTGCTCAGTATTTTTCTCATATAGATGGTTAATGTGTCCTTAAACTAATAACTTTGTAAGTAAATTTGAATATGTGGGTTTGTTTACCTACGCAAACAGCTGTGACTAAAAATACAACAATGGCGATGTCGGTGGAAGAACCGTTTGAGACGACAAAGAAACAGTTGGACAGTTTTAATGTGTTGGTAGAAATTTAAGCCCAGATTTGTTGAATAAAATGTGCAGACAGGATTTTAAAACAATCCAAATTAAAGTAAATTTGAAATCAGGGCCTATTCCACCTGTTTGTCTGGAAGATACAACAACTTGGACTAATTTGATCAGGACAGGAAATGCTGCTCTTCAAATACTCTAGAGTGAAATATGTTGAGGACCAACCCGCATCTGGCTGATTCCAGTCATTAGTAACATAGAAGCAAGTTTTAACAGGCGGAAATACTCAGGGCCTTCAACGTCTTCAGGGAAGGCCTACAATTTCAGCACATATGAAAAGTTACATATAAATTTTAAATATTTATTTGATATAAAATAAATATTTTCAATGTAGTTTTTTTTCTCTTATTTTTGTTAAGCTAGCTACTTTGCAGTTGGGCTTTTTTTTTTTTTTTATTCATGAAATTACAAGGATCCAATAAGATTATTTTACATTTTTGTCTCCAGGCAGAAACAGACAGAGCTCTCACTGGTTAGGACTTCACTGTCAGCAGAGAAGGCTGAAGTCAGCCAGAGGCTCCGCAGGATGAGTTTGTTTAATAACTGACAGGAAAACTGACCAATCAGAATGCTGGTATAAAGTGGGTGGGACTAAAACACAGGACTCAGGACTTTGAGAAGGCCTCGCAAATCTTTTGTTTTTGACCACATGTAGATTTGTGACACATTCAATTGCGACCTGTACATTGAAAAATCTACAGAAATTGTAGTTGCTGGTAAAAAAAAAAAAAAGGTTAAATATTAAATTTATTACATTGATAAGTACACACAATTTCGTTCCACCACATGTGGCGCGTATGACAAATAAAGAAACTTTGACTTTGATAATTTTACATATTAAAGTTGTATTTTGGCTACATGTTTGGTACTTTGGTTTACATGATGAAATTTGAAAGGAACAGTATGTTATGTTAAATTTCAGCATGAATTATTGCAATTACGTTTTACTTGAACGCAAGAGACTGGGTGAGCCGTAGGGTCTTCTGGGTAGAGCAAACCCGAGCTCGCGCCAGGACCAAAATTCGGGTGGGGCCAAAATAATGTGATGGATGGGAAGGCCGTGTCGGGCTTTTGATTGCGTCAGCGGACGTGCGCGGCTGACAATCCAATTTGGATCACCAGCACCAGTCAGTTGAAAGAGGTAAAAAAAAAGATGGATGACTGCCAGTGACCCACCTGAAGCTTAACTGGACCCACAGCAGCTGCATCAGAAGACGCGTGCAGTCACAGACCGTTAATAAATATAATAATCCGCTGCCTCTTGTTAATAAACAGGAAAGCTTATATCTTCCTTTCTTTGAAATATGTTTTTAAATCATGTCAAATTGATTTGCGTACAAAAGCGGGAAAAGCGTAATAAATAAAAAAAGGTCAGGTTTTTTTCAGGTCTGGGTCTTTAATCACATTTAATTGGTTGTGGCTCGGAAAAAAATGATACGGGTTCGGTCCAGGCCGGGTCAGATTTTTTAGGTCCGAATGCAACTCTACTTCTAGGTCATTTTGGGACAGCAGTGGGTGGACTTCTTCAGGTTGTGTGTTCAGATGGGTTTTCCTTGTCGTTTTTCGGTTTAGGGTCGGGTTAGAATCAGAATCAGCTTTTTTATCATTGTACTGAAATACAGTGAAATTATTAGCATTATTATTATTAGCTTTGATGTTCAGGTTGTGGTCAGTAACTGTTCCGTCTCATGTCGTACTTGGTGAATAAAAGGCGAAGTCCTTCCTGTCAGCAAGTTAAGGAACTTAATAAATATGGAGTGATGTAAATAGACAGCGACTCCATAGAAGGCGTTGACGTTAGCTTCGAATGTGATGTCACATGTCCTCCTAAATGAAAGCTTAGCTTTTTTTGGCCCAGTTCGCCACTGGTTTTTAAGCACTTTTTTTTTTTTTTTTCATTTAGCTTTTATTTATACAGGTAGTCTCATTGAGCCACGAGAACTCATTTTCAAGAGAGACCTGTTTTAGGGAGCACATGGTGGGGGTTAAGGGCCTTGCTCATGGGCCCAGAGTGGGGCGACTGAGGGTGGGGGCAAGTGTGGGTGTTTCACCTACCCCACCCACAATTGTCGATGGTGTCGGGGCCGGGGCGTGAACCGATGATCTTCGGATCACAGGCCCACCTCTCTAACCTCTGCGCCACCACATGACAGAGTTAAATTATGATTTGTTACAAATGTTGAGAGAACGGGCTTTTCTGTTCTTTTTAGATATGTAGCAACCAGTGGCGGACGGACCATCGGGAGCACCGGGACATTTCCCGATGGCCTGGCCTGCTCAGTGGTCACAGAGGGATTGGACGAATGGTTCGGTTCGCACTTAATCATTTAAAATAAACAATCTGCTCTTGGTAGCAACCATTACTCATTATTTCTTTTTCTCTCTTGCACTTTTAGCAGCAGTGTCACTTTAATATTTCTACTTACGGTAAATGTCTTCTCTGACTTGCACACATTCTGGACTTGGCAATCTATTTTTGATATTTCTCTGGGGTGTGTGGAAAAACTGTGCACCCATCACCATTCATTTTATTGTGCAGGGTGGCCCCTGTGGATGCATCCTTCAGCAAGTATGAGAGGAATATGACTGCTTTTGTTTCTCTTCTGGCCAGGAGACTTATTTTATGCAGATGGAAGGATCCACATCCCCGGCATATGAACACTGGATAAGAGAAGTTATGTGTCATGTTCATTTGGAAAAGATTCAAAATACTCTGAAAGGATATGTTGGGAGATTTTGGGACACTTGGCAGCCATTTATATCTTTGAAAGTATGTCAAAGTCTGTCTGATGCATTCATGTCTGTGTAGCAGATGTGGTATGGGAGGGGATTTTGTTGTATGTTTTTTTATGTGTTCTAAAAAACAAAATCAATAAAAAGACTCATTGAAAAATGTCTTCGCTGAGATTCTATGCTTGTCCAATTCTACCATATTTGTTTACCTACACAGACTACAGCCAGCCTAATGTACGGTAGGTTGTTTAAGTGACTCAAACTGGTTATGGTGGAGTCAGCTTCGTTTATATTTAAAAGCATTCCCACATTTCAGAACTGCGTATCGATACGGATGGAAAATGATCTGTTTAAACTGTAGCATTTGTTAAACCTCAGAATAACCCTTAGTTTGATTTCATACTTTGCAATCAGTGGCTTTAACCCTAATAACTGTGACTTGAGCCCCCTCCTAAAAACTCCAGTTCATAAAGCAGCACCCGCCAATAGAAGGAGCTCCTACTGCATATACAAGATCTAAGGTGAAAGACAACGTGAACGCTTGGCACTAGGTTTAAGTTTTTCTTTTTTTACCTAAGTTTTTATACAAAAAGTGAAATATGTCTCATTGGCACGACTCTCCCCTCCGTCTCTCAGTGGATCTCGCTCAGCCAAACCCTCAAAGTTGATGTGCGCTCACGTTCAAACTTTTGGTCCGTAACGTACACAATACATGTTTTACATCGACAAAAATAATTCTGCAATGTTAAAAAATAGAATACAAAGCTCTAGTCTCGGTGTGCAAATAAACAGAAGACATAACGGAGATACAAACCGGATTCCCAAAAAGTTGGGACACTAAACAAATTGTGAATAAAAACTGAATGCAATGATGTGGAGAGGGCAAATGTCAATATTTTATTCGTAATATAACATAGATGACAGATCAAAAGTTTAATCTGAGTAAATGTAACATTTTAAAGGAAAAATATGTTGATTCAAAATTTCAGTGTCAACAAATTCCAAAAAAGTTGGGCCAAGTAGCAATAAGTGGCTGGAAAAAGGAAATTGAGCATAAAACGAACAGCTGGAAGACCAATTAACACTAATGAGATCAATTGACAACATGATTGGGTATAAAAAGAGCTTCTCAGAGTGTCAGTGTCTCTCAGAAGCCAAGATGGTAAGTGGATCACCAATTCCACCATTGTTGCGCAGAAAGATAGTGCAGCAATACCAGAATGGTGTTACCCAGCGTAAAATAGCAAAGACATTTAAGTTATCATCATCAACCGTGCATAACATCATCAAAAGATTCAGAGAATCTGGAACAATCGCTGTGCGTAAGGGTCAAGGCCGTAAAACTCTACTGGATGCTCGTGATCTCCGGGCCCTTAAATGTCATTGCACCTCAAACAGGAATGCCACTGTCAAGGAAATAACAGAATGGGCTCAGGAATACTTCCAGAAAGCATTGTCAGTGAACACAATCCACCGTGCCATGCTCCGTTGCCAGCTGAAACTCTACAGTGCAAAGAGGAAGCCATTTCTAAGCAAGCTCAGACGTTTGCACTGGGCCAGGGGTAATTTAAAATAGAGTGTGGCAAAATGGAAGACTGTTCTGTGATCAGATGATTCACGATTTGAAGTTCTTCATGGAACACTGGGACGCCATGTCATCCGGACCAGAGAGGACAAGGATAGCCCAAGTTGTTATCAACGCTCTGTTCAGAAGCCTGCATCACTGATGGTATGGGGTTGCATGAGCGCTTGTGGCATGGGCAGCTTGCATGTCTGGAAAGGCACCATTAATGCAGAGAACTATGTTCAGGTTCTAGAACAACATATGCTCCCATCTAGACGTCATCTCTTTCAGGGAAGACCCTGCATTTTTCAACACGATAATGCCAGACCACATTCTGCAGCAATCACAACATCATGGCTACGTAGGAGAAGGATCCGGGTACTGAAATGGCCAGCCTGCAGTCCAGATCTTTCACCTATAGAGAACATTTGGTGCATCATGAAGAGGAAGGTGCGACAAAGAAGGCCCAAGACGATTGAAAAGTTAGAGGCCTATATTAGACATGAATGGGACAGCATTCCTATTTCTAAACTTGAGAAACTGGTCTCCTCTGTCCCCAGACGTCTGTTGAGTGTTGTAAGAAGAAGGGGGGGATGCCACACAGTGGTAAAAATGGACTTGTCCCAACTTTTTTGGGATTTGTTGACGCCATGAAATTTGGAAACAACAGATTTTTCCCTTAAAATGATACATTCTCTCAGTTTAAACTTTTGATCTGCGATTTGTGTTCTATTCTGAATAAAATATTAGATGTTGGCACCTCCACATCAATGCATTCAGTTTTTATTCACAATTTGTTTAGTGTCCCAACTTTTTTGGAATCCGGTTTGTATATTCAAGGGACATCAAAAGCATGAATACTGTAGATGAAGTGCAAAATGATGTCGACCCTCCCTTTAACCCCAGCACCCTCTCCCGACCCAACCCTACAGGCCCGGCTCTCCTGTACACACGGGCATTCTGGGATATCATATAATGTATATGTGCTCTATGGTCACTGAATAAGACAATCAGCTAAAAGAAAAGTACAAATGGTGGCCAGAAATGGCTTCCACTGGCTGAGGTTGCTTTCTATCAGCATGTACCATGTTAGACAGTCAGTTCCACTTTACAATGTTAGATCATAGAAAAGGCTAAGGGCTCCAAGGATCGGTCATCTCCTGTCCTCTCGCTGCTTCTCCGGCCTTGATTGTGACTTGCACTGTTCGCTCTCTCAGAGCTCCGATAGACAAACGCGTCAGAATTAGGGAATTCTACCAAACTGTGGGATTTCCCTTCATTCTCACTAAAACTCCTTCATTTTCCACCTTGGTTTCCTTCCTCTCCCTGTCTCATGGCGGGTAAGGTTTTCTGACTTTGTGCATGTATGTGTGAGATGTGTTTTGGTAGGTGTGTGTGTGTGGGTACATGTGTGTTAATTATACGACGAGGTGTGTTTCACACGTGAGTCTGCATTCTTTGTGTGTGTCGGCTGTGGGAGTAGTCAGAGTGCTGCGATGTGTAGGAGAAGCGAGTGGAGCTACCGTACTTCCCGAGCCCAGTCTCTGATCCGGAGGGAGCCGGGCCTCCGGGGCTGACCCCGACCCCGGGGCTCCCCACCCCGGATCCCACCCCATACATCTCATAGGAGGGGCCGGCCTCCAGAGGGGCCAGGCTGGACGGTGCAAAGCCCATGCGGTAGGTTTGGTAGTGCGAGGGGTATCCGTAGTTGTCGTAGGCCAGCTGGGAGGTGGAGTCCAGGAGGCTACAGTCTCCTGGGAAGTCACTGGCTGCGGGGGCAGGGTTAGCTGGGGGCTGCTGGCTCTGACTCCCGCGGGTGAACGTGTTGAACTGGGCATAGCTGATGTGGGACAGTCTGGACGGCGGTCGGGGGTCATAACAAGCCTGTGGGCGCCCAGGGGAGGTGAGGGGGCCGGGAGGACCGGGAGCTCCTCCGCTGGCAGTGGCCCCCGAGCCTCCGGTGCTGCTGCTGATGGATGCAGCGCCCCCCGGTGTTCCTCCAGGGGAGCGGTAGTCGGAGTAGTGCATGGTGGAACGGGACCCGGGCAGGACTTCGTCTTGAGTGGAAGCTCGGACGTTGTAGTACCCGTTGGTGGGGTCCTGGAAACACAACGACATGAGGCTGAACGGGCTTTAAGAACAAAGATTTAAGATGCTGTTTGAAAAAGGAGATTTTTACAAAAAGAAATGGAAACTTGCTTTAGAATAACTGGGACTGATGCACATTTTTTAATATAAAAAATCTCTGAATTTTCTGTGATTTGGTTTATTTTTTACATTGAAATGTCTGTAAATCTGTCATTTATGGTGTTGTGTTGTAGGCTAATGTTAAGCGATATTCTCAACTTAATTATTCTTTCTTTTTTTACAATTATTATGATCTAAAATCTCTCCTGTTTGATTTTGTCTGGATTAGTATTTTGTTGCACAGAATTGGGAAAAAACATTTTGCTGAAGACAAAGTTTGCAAAAATCCCAATTAAATCAATTGTACTTTGGAAAACACAAACACATCCAACCATTTATGAAGCTCTAAAGCTCTATCATACAAAGTTTAAATTGGTCACACAAAGGTAGACTTTGCATGACTAAGCTGACTTTTTCATAAATAGTTTTTAGTTTTTACACAAGTTTAATTCAGCTTTCATTGACTTTTCAACAATGTTTAACTCACAGCTGATGTAACATTAACTTTTCATAGGTCTAAAATTTGAAATCTTGTGCAAACAAACTCTTGTTAGTCCCACAACTCTTCTTGGTACATACTGTATTTTTCAGCCTATAAGTCGCGGGGTGTTTTTTGTTTGTTTTTTTGCATAATTTGCATACCCTGTGACTTATACGCCGAAGCGACGTATTTATGGATTTTTCCCATATTGATAAACCAATTTTTGGCTGAGATATGACTGTTTTCATTCATTCTGACTGAAAATATTGAACACTACCATTTTCAGCCACTAGACGGCACTCGAGTAGTATGGCATGCCGTTGTGTCATGCAATAGGTTAAAGAGACTATTAATGACACAATCGGCTTGCCACAGCCTTCCACCTTTGTCCAGCTCACCTGGAGCAACCGTCAAATCAGCTTCATTTCGCTGCACCGCCCCGGTGAAATGCAGCTGACTTGACCATTAAAGTGCATTTATTAAGCAAACGTTACACCGAGACACACCTTTACTATAAAGTCGAACAAACAAATAATTGTTTGAGATGCTTATCTTGTTAAATTTTGAAGAAATGCAGTGAGTCTTCCCTCTGCGCGTTTACTTCCGCATATCGTCTTTTGAAATGCAGCTGATTTGACCATCAAAGTGCATTTATTAAGGAAACGTTACTGTGGTGGCTATTCTTGCTTCATCATAAGCTCCAAAAAGTTTGAGACAGAATAGCCTTGTGGAGGAGGTTCTCGACGCATAACAAAATATATAAGCACTCGCGGAGAGATTTCTTGTTTCAAAAGTTCTGCATTTAATTTCCTTGTTGAATTTAACAAAATATTATCGAGTTGACTTCTTACAAATCTCAAAAATTAAACAATTTGTGTGTGGTAAAGAAAACTGTTTCACGCCTCTCTCCTTCACTGCAAAAAACAACAATCAGCCCTGCAGCAGCTGAATTCCCCTTTTTAATCACTGCCTCCGCTGATCCCACTAGAGGGAGCCATAAACAACTAAATAAGAAGAAACATAATAGCTCTTCTGCAATCTGTAATATTTAACATAGTTTTAGATCAATATTCATCATTTTGCAAATAATTAATTCATTCAATACTTAATGGGCTCCAACAGTTACACTGAGACACACTTTTGCTATAATTTTGAGTAAACAAATAATTGTTTAGGTGTTGATCTTGTTAAATTCTTGTTAAAGTCCTCCTGTGCGTGTTCCCGTGGCCACCATTTGGCAGCCAATTGATTTTTGGCACAACACTGGCCCACATTTCCAGGTCGTCAGTGGTGACACATAATTGATGCGACGTGTACGGCAAAGCAATGTATTTATGTTTTTTCCACTTTATTAGACATATTTGGACTGATGTGACGTGTCCGGCGGAAAATACGGTAATTGGCTTTTTTAAATGTATATGAATGTTTCTGTTCAGTGCCCTGAGACGACTTCTGTCGGAACTTGGAGCTATAGAAATAAACTGAATTGAACAAAGTGTACTGTTACTATTATTCTAGTAATTATTCTACAATAATTTTTGCATTTTATACCAACCCTACATGTAAAGCTTTTACTGCTCTGAATTGTTGCCTTCACAATGCCAACAAGAGTAGTCCAGTACCTGGACCGTGTTCTTCGTGAGCCCTGCTCTTTTCTGCGAGCAGCTTGTGCTCTTGTCTACAAATGTGTTTTTAAAGGCAGCTGGACATTTCTGTGTTATGCTGCTTTCACAGATGTAGAAATTAGATGTTTGTAGGAGAACTGATCCCAGGTCAGAGCATCACAGAGTGTGTCTGTTTGAACAGGTGCTGACTATTTTTGCACAGTAAAATGTGAAGTGTTATTTGTGAATGTAACGTTATAATACTGCGGTGTCTGACGAGGGATGTGGGTTTATGACGGTTCAGTTTAAGGCTGTTCGTCAGTCTCTTTACTGAAAGTCATCCAGAACTTTTTTTTGAGGAAAAAAGTGTTTAAAAACTGTTCAATGACTTTTGACAACTTTTCTTTAACCATCTTTGCTTCTCAAAGACTCAGACAGACAGATACAGGTTTTTTTTTTAATGATTATTATTATTTATATCAAAGTTACAGCCTGTTACCAACCATGTTAGAAAATTATGCAGCCCTGAAATTCAAGAATTAATGTATTTTTTAATCAAATAAATAAAAATTAACAAGTCATGACAATCCATTGCTTTGGATAGACTAGCTGTTAGCTCAGAATTTAACTATTTCTCTGAGCTGAGGTCGTTCAATCAGCTATCTGCAACAGGTAAGATGTTTTCTCCACAGACGGGGGTGTCAAATGTTACAAAAGGATGCAGGGATGGAGTGGAGACCCTGGCGGAAGAAACCTGTACTGTGAAGTGTACTGCAGCGGGAGGGGTTTCCAGGAGCTCTGCACCGTGTCTCATGGACTATGAAACGTGTGCAGAACTAAACATCCCACAACCGCTAGCTGACTGTTCAGCATCGGATGTAGCATAAACATCCTTAAACTGGAAGTCTTAACGGCCTTAAACCTCCACGTTAAAAGCTCTTTTGTTCTTCTCTGGCAGGATTCTGCCGTCTCGTTGTTTTTCTACGCTGCTTTGGTGCTTCACTGAGGGAAACTAAATCGAGTCGTGGCTGAAGAGGCTGTCAGGGCGATCGAACCCACGTCCTGCGGTGTATTCATTTCTGTTTCTGTGTTTGGAGGCAGCTCTTCTCCAGTTAAACGGACAGGTTTGTTTGCCTCTCACAGATTATTCGTGGGATGGGGGCATGGAGGTTTGAGAGGAGCGTTTTGGCAGCTTCGTACTTCATCACCCAAGTTTTCAGGAAGTCAAAACATACACAGTAATTTCTGGTGTAAAAGCCACTACATTTATCTCATGCTTTGGACTCATGTCATCTGGTGGTTGATTCTGGTACTACAACTAGAGCTGCACACGACCAAGAGCTGGGGACAGTTACAGATGGTTAATTGTAGACGGCTGTGGCTCATACACCAGCATGTCTTCTTTATGTGCAAAACTGTCCTTTTATTTAAATGTAATCTATGCGGCTTACAGTGAGGTGTCTACGACAGAGCTTTAAGGCCATGCAAAAAATAAAAATTAAAAGCCATAAAATTACAAGAATAAAGTCGTACGAGACTTTTTTTTTATTTTTATTTTTGCAGCTCTCATTTATTTTTTTGCACAAGTTGGATCCACAACGCGACCTGTCAATCAATCCAGTAGGCGTGTCAGCAAATGACCAATCCGAAGCTAAATGAGTCGTAATATTATCGGAACTCTGAGCTTCAGATTGGTCATTTGCTGATACGCCTACTAGATTGATTTACAGGTTGTGTCGTAAATCCGACTCGTGGGAAATAAATAAATAAACAAGACCTGTAAAAAAACAAACATGTCGTACGACTTTATTCTCATAATATTAAAACTTCATTCGACGTTATTCTAGCAATTTTATTTTAGATAAAAGCTTTTATTTTTTTTTTTTTTTTAGCGTGGCCCTAAAGCTCCATCGTAGGTTTGTTCTATAGACCGGCAATTACAGTAAATGATTCACAACACCACAATGGGAACAACATATTTTGGTTAGTAGTGTGCTCAAATGTTAAACAGACAGATGTTAGATCACATCTGCTTCCTGAACAGAAAACGGCGATGGATGGTTTCGTCTGCAGGCTCACCTTCAGGTCGTACTCCTGCCGGGTGTCCAGGGTGTCGCTGCGCATGTCTGACTTCAGCTCGATGTCGTCTTTAAAAGGCTGATTGGAGGGAGAGAAGGACACAGAAGGGAGAAACTAAACCGTCAAACAACGAAAAAACAAAAGGGAAAGGAGTGAAGAGGGGGCGATAAAACACAAGAAGGATGGAGCGAACAGAGCGTGAGAGGAAAAAAAAAAGAGAGAGAAAATGGGATTAAGAGTTAAAATGAGAGCGAGTTAAAGAGGAAATCTGGTTTTAGTATAAAGTACAGTACGGGAACAGAGTTCTCCTCTGTAAAAACAGACAGCAGCCCAAACACAAACACCCGCCGCTCACCGAGTACATGGCCTTGACCATACGTGAAGCTGTGGAAACGCTGCCCGAGTCCTCCTCTAAGCTGTGGGTCTCCTTGTTTATGGTCTCCACCTTGATGTCGGGTTTACCCAGCGTGACCCCGCGCCGGCCTGGAAAACAAACAGCCGGGGTGAACACAGCTGGACACACTCTTCAGTTAAGAGGTTCCTCATCAGCTGGGGGACCAAACTGCTCAGAGGAAGTCGAGCTTATATTCAGTTTAAACAAAAACTGTGAGAAAGATCTAAACCTGGACGAAGACATGACTAAAGTTTGAACACTCACTGCCTTTGCGCTGCCGGTAGAAGATAAGGACGAGAATCAGCAGGAAGATGAAGAGGAGGATGGTGGAGCCCACCGTCCCAACGGCTATGATCCCCACTGGAACCTCTTCTGTGGCGACAGGAGGAGAAACAAAAAGAGGAAAGTTTGGCTCTCTGTTGTCTCAGTAGTCCTGCAGTGTGAACGCGGTCCAGTATGCAGTTTGAAACCAGTTGAGAATCGGACCAGACAAGCCAACCCAGTTTTCTAAGAGGTCCAACAAGACATGGAGATCAGCTGAGCCAGAAGTGGAGTCAAGACTTCAAGGACAGACGTGTTTGTTCAGTTAGTGTTTATGTGCAGCTCATTTACATTTAAACATGAGTGTTGTTTGTACTGTGATGACATCACAACCCAGACTAATGAATATAAAAGACACTGTTACATTGAAGATAATATTTGGAGTGTTAACAGCTTTTTCATATATTTTACTAATAAAAGTCCCTCACTACTTCACGGTTCAACGTTTGTGGACTCACTCTATTGCGGTTTGTGAACGTAAAGGCTATAATATTGTACAGGACATGATTGTCTACTTTAATATTACTCACTGGTCGTACAGTAAAAAGTTAATAAAAAAATAATATACTTTGGACAGGTGCTGCCATTTTAGTTTTCTCTCAGTAAGCCTCAACTGTATTCCTGCTCTTAAAAACTACATTTCCCAGAAGCCAATAGGGCCCCGCCCAGAAACCCTGTTTCCTTCGACTGAAAAGTTAGAGGGAACATTTTGATCTGACGGGCGTCCAGTGGATGCAGAGAGCCGCATGGAACTCAACGAACTGGACCAGAACCAGATCAAAACCAGATCTCAAGACCCATCAGTGAATCTTGAAAGCTGGTAGCCGGCGCACGAGGACTTCCAAGCGGGATGCGCGCAGCTGAAAGTCCAGGGCTGTTTCCAGAGCCCATCGGGACTTTTTTCATCCAGACTTGGACTCAATCAACCACGTCTGGTCCGAGCCAGCCAACAGAAGGTCTGCCCCACCCCCACCCCCAAAATGCTCATTGATGCTCATGGGCTGCACTGAACCAGACCAGACTCAGCGGTGAACCCGAGAGCTCTTAGCCGGCCCACGAGGACCTCAGAGCGGGGACGTGCCGCCAAAGGTCCAGGGCTCCATCTGGAGCCCACTGGGACTTTTTTCATCTCTTGGGTCAGACCGGAACCAAGTTGCTCCTGTTCGGAAGAGCCTGGTAAGTAAAATTTAGTAGCTACAGAAGTATGTTGTTAAAATTAGTAGGTTTAAGAGTTTAGATCAGGGGTCTGCAACCTTTACCATCAAAAGAGCCATTTCTGCCTCTTTGTTCACTAAATTAAACGTGACCAGAACCACAATACCTGCTACAACTGGGATTCTCAACTGGTGGCCCACAGACCACTTTAAGTTTGTTGGAGGGCACTTTTCTGGACCGTAGGTGTGATTTAATAAAACTAAAAAAATCTAATGATTTTTAACATTTACTGATAATTTTACATTCTAAGACCAAATAAAAGACGAGATTCTTGTAAAGAAGAAAAAATATATAATTTTTGCCCAGTTTCTAAAAACAAACAATAAACTATGCAGTCTTATGTGATTTTTTTTAAACTGTAAAACAATTACATATCCTACTTTAAAGAAATAATGCATAAAGTGAAAGTGAAAGTATCCAAAAAAGTTCAATCTGGTCCTCTGGACATTCAAAAACAACAAAAAACAAAACAAAGCAAAAAAATGTAGAAACGTTTCGTCTCTCATCCGAGAGACTTCCTCAGTCTGAGGTGCTGTTTTCAGCTCAGTCTCTTAAATAGCACCGTCTCAGAGTGGATCAACCAGTTTTGCTGCTGACAACCAAAACCAGCTGATCACATGCTCAAGAAGGACCATCAGCCTAACAATGGATCATTAGCACACTGATGGCTGTTTACTATTCACAGAGGGCTGAGTGATACTAGCAATCACAGCATTGTAAGAGGGGGACAGTTGAACCCGGAGGCCTTCACCCCTGTTTAACGATGGACGATTTCTTTTCACAAAGATGGCCTCCTTTACTCCTCTCTCAAACCATCGTTCCTCTCTGTCCAGGATGTGAACATCTTCATCCCTGAAAGAGTGACCGCTGGCCTGGAGATGAGTGTAGACCGCAGAGTCCTGGCCTGATGATGTTGATCTTCTGTGCTGGGCCATCCTTTTGGCCAGTGGCTGTTTAGTTTCCCCAATGTAAGACTGATCACAGCCCTCCTGACACTGAACAGCATACACAACATTACTCTGTTTGTGCCGGGGGACTGGATCTTTGGGATGAACCAGTCTTTGCCGTAATGTATTTTGGGGTTTAAAAGCCACTGGGACGTTATGTTTAGAGAATAAACGTCACAGTTTCTCTGATACTCCCTCAACATATGGAATGAACACTGGTCTGGGTCTGGGTTCCTCCTTTCCACCTGATGGCTGACTGGAGTCCTGTTTGGGTTTCTTCTCTGCTTTCAGGAAGGCCCAGTTAGGATATCCACATTGCTCTAGAGCTTGTCTTGTGTAGGATTTCTCCTTCTGCCTGGCTCCTGAGCTAGTGGGGACGCTGTCTGCTCTGTGATACAGAGTCCTGATGACTCCTAACTTGTGCTCCAAAGGGTGATGGGAGTCAAACTGCAAATACTGGTCTGTGTGGGTGGGTTTGCGGTACACCTTAGTTTGCAAATGTCCTCTATCAGAGACTGAGACCTCACAGTCCAAGAAAGCCAACCTGCCATTTTTTACATCTTCTCGTGTGAACTTGATGTATTTATCCACAGAGTTGATGTGGTCAGTAAAATGTTGGACTTCCTGAGATTTAATTTTAACCCAGGTGTCGTCAACATACCTGAACCAATGACTTGGTGGTGTCCCTGAAAAGGACGTCAAGGCTCTCTTTTCTACCTCCTCCATGTACAGGTTGGCA